CTCATTTCTAACTTTATTCTAGACAATTTCATCTTAACACGTTCTGTTTCACGATCTATCAACTCTTTTCCATTCTGACTGAGTCAGGTTACGAAAATACCACATTTATTAGCTAAGAAAATACACATTCATATACGTAATTCAGTGTGACCCGTCAAGGCTTGCTCACGTTCTACCAATATCCGTGGGCACAATTTCCTATCAAACGTAGGTTACTCGACAATCATACCCGTTAGTCCCTTTGCGCTTAACGCCCTAGAAATATCCGATTAGATACACCATTTTTCGCAGAACTGAGTTTTATTATTCTTGTTCCATTCCTTTTTACTATTCCCGCAATGCTTCCTGTTCCATTCTTCGAATGTACTTTAGCGTTAGCGAAATAACAACTTACCTGTTAAACAATTAACAATATGATAAAACAATAAAATCACTTTGGAGCATAGAAAAGCTCCACGGCAATAAACCCGTGGAGATAAATGACCCATATGTTACTCATTTTTCTGTTAATAGGAAATGACTATTTACACAGCACCAACAACAGATCTTACGAAGCCTCTAAATCCTGGATAATGTATAGACTCGAGCAGTGCCTGCTCAACAGATGGTCTCCACAAATCCTATACAACCTTGCTACACTCAATCTTTTAGTAAATGGAAACCCACCCATACGTTTGTGAACGGGCAACAATTTACGGAATATAAAGTGTATTTTCCAGCAAAAAGAAGCTAGAGTATTACGCATCTTTCGTGCTCTCCAAACTTCCCGCGTGCTTCATGTCTCGATGAACGCACGCTGACGTGTGAACCAATTGTTAATTGTCGCATAACTTTTGCTGTACGTAAAACGTGCGTAGAAGGATAAGAGTTAACTGAATAGGTCTGGGCAGTATTAGAGGAGATGCTTGGATGGGAAACGATAAATCAAAATATTTTACAATTATTCACCGAAGTGGAGGTGAATAGTACTTGCAGTTCGCTTCCGAACTAGCCAATTAGCGCGCGTGAAAATCACTATTCACTATAGTGGTATATACTAAGATCAAGTACTGCTATCGGATAGTCAATATAGGTAAATGCATGAGAAAAAAAACCATAAGAGTACAATTATTGCTCTTAAAACTTCAAAAGGAAATATTTCAAACTCTGGCTTCAATAGCATTATGATGGTTAAGGACCGGTGCCCGACAATCAGGCGCTGTGAAACCTGTACCATAGTTATCACAACAGCCGACTGAAAACCAGGGAAACAAAGGAATTATGGGCGTAAAATTATCGTCACAGTCAAAAAGGAAATAGAAAATGCACGTTTGAGTCACCTTGCGGTTGGTTTCTTTCATTTACTTATAAAATTGAAGCTCACCCATAGGCTTCATTTTTAAAATCATTTGATAAAAATCTTTGGGAAATAAGGAACCAGTTAGTGTCGCGTTTTTTAAAAGATCATTGTAATTGGTTGTTATCTCATTGTTCTGCGAAAGCTTGTGATTTTTTTTTTCCAATACGACAAACCCAGAGAGGGGAAAGGAGAAGAAAACTATTTTGGGTGTTAGCGATCATTTTTTTAGACTACACAGAAGGTTAAGTAGGATTCTCAGTCCGGATGCGATTTAACCTGACTCAAGCGGCTTTTTCCATTTTATCTAGTTTGTAGCTTATATTCTTATAGACCTTTCGACCAGTTTTTGAAAACTCGAATACATTTTTATTCTAATGACGGTACTTTTAGGATCGAAGGCGACTAATCCATCAGTTAAATTACTGTTGTGTGTTACCCTCCTTAAATAAATTTGTTATTATTATTATTATCATTATTATTATTATTATTCTAAAGCACACATACCTGCAATGATACCAACGAAACAGAAAACAAGGCAAAGAACAGCAACGAGCTTCATCGTGAGTTCTGTCTTCTCGCTGATAGCAGTGTCTTCTTCTCGACCTCTCTGCGAAGAGAAACAAATGTTGTTTATGCTTGTTCATTGATAAATCTGATAAAGTTATATTTGCATATCATATGAATCATTCATCGAATTACATGTCTATGAGGTAATGCATTTTTACCTATCAAGGCCCCTTGAGTCCTCAGGCTATTTTCAACCCATTGTTTTTATGATGTTTCCGATGGGGTGATGGCCTGAGGGGTACTTTTACGGGTAATGATTAAAATTTGGCCATTTTACGACTTCCAGGTAATTTTCTTCCCGTTTTGATTAAAGAAAGAATTTTAAGGCTGACTATTTTTACGACAAAGTTTACGCCTAACAGTTTCATTTTTTTTGGCCTTTTTACGGTTAACGGTTAACCCCCTTTACACCCTAACATTAGTTTCCATATTCTCCATACTGTTCTCGATAGATTTCATAAGGAGCTGACAAGGAGAATTTGTTTAACAATCAAGAGCTCTACGTGACCATTTCCTCTTTTCTCATGATCATGATCTCAAATTAATGTTATGAGCGCTCCTCTCGACTTCCCGTCGAAAAAAAAAATTGTTCTTTTATTTTTTGCCCATGAAAAGGGTTTAGGACTCGTGCTTAAAAAAAAAAATCGTTTAAGTGTTCTCAAAGTCTTTTTTCTGCGTCGCCACAAGCCAAACATCATTTTTGGCTGGACCACCCGTGTGGACAGCAATCGAAAGTGTAACACATTAATTTAAAATAATAACTTTCTATAACAAGTCTTGTTTTCCAAACCAATAACACTTGTGTTCTTTTGTATCTAAAAATTTCCAAGTCGGTCACTATATGTTTCCCTTTGGTTTATATTAAACTAACTGTATGTTTATCTTAATTTTTTTCATTCAAATTTCGGGCTATTGATATTTCCATATTTTTTTCTTGTTACTTCAATATGTCATGATGGTTGCTTACGACGTGACGCCGTCCCACAATACAACACAATGAATAGGCAAAGACTGAGTCTCGATGAGGTTTACCATAAGCCGTAAAAGGGCCAAAAGATTTGGCCGTTGGACGTAATAACTGGCAAATTGAAACCATTTGTCGTAAAAATAGTCAGCCTGCTCAAATTCCATAACATATGGATATAACAAATCACAACGGCAATTGTAATTGAAATATAGAGCGACTATTTATCTGTCCAGAAAGAAAACTGAAAAGAAAGTGAAGTAATAAATTTACACAGGCAACAGGAAAGCGACATAAGGACTTGCCGTGTCGTATTTAGTACACGTTATTGCTTGCTTCATGTCAGAGGCAGTAAACGGGTCATCAAGTAAGTAAGTCACGGTGTTAAAAATCTTGCTAATATCTTTTTCCTAAAATAAATATCTAGAACGTTTCCATCAAGTTTTATTCTCGCACTGTTTGAGATTTTGGGCTGGAGATTGGGGCGAGGAAGCCAAATTTGATCCAATTGTACATGTCCGACATTTGATCGCTGTGTTACGTCAATGACAATTGAAACTTCATGTTTTATAATACACTTTAATTATATACGTCTTTAAACAATTTAGCGTTTTATTCCTTTGATTTACGGGACTCGTCGCGTGGAATTGTATACGCAGGCCGACCCCCGCTCCTCCTCCTCGAAGGTACACATTGAAGGCGACTTCTTCTCTTCCCAGCAACAGCCATACATACGAACCCAGCTGGGCAATCTTTCGAGGCTTTTTCTTTATCGTTGCATACTAAAAAAGGATAAAAAAAAACCAAACAACAAGGCATGCAGTTTAAATGTGATGGTTAAGATCGCGGATGAAAATACAGGAACGATTGTATATATCTCGGCAGTCTATTAACCCTCGCCACCCTAACATTAGTATCCATGTTTGTTTCTGAATACGTGTGACCGCAAACGTCTAGGGGTCACGTGACCAGACTCCAACGGTCATGTTCGCCGTTTGCCGTCCACGTTTTTTTTTTTCGATCTAAGCAGTTTCAGGTACTTGTGCTCCCTCGAGGCGAAGAGCGCAGAAAATTTAATTTTTTTTCCCTTTTTTATGGTGTTGTGCGAACGTCGGCGTGGTTTCGCGGGAAATTAGAGAACCCCCACGTATCTTAGTTCTAAAAATAAAAGATTCGGGACAGGATTGATTCAAGGGCACAACTGGTATGACGGCTCCAGGTAATGGGCTCATGTTACAACCAATCCGTTTGGAACGCTGGGAACCAATCTTTTTTAGCCACAGTTTGTGTTTGAAATGAAGGACCTCTAATTTCTGTGTAATTCAAGATGACGGCGAACATGTTGACTTTTTCAGTCGAAAGCCGACGTCGATCTAAAAAGCTGAAAGTCTCCAAAATTCTAACTTCTAACCACAAATTGCAAACTGCTTTTACGTTTGCGGCAATCACACCAACGTGGATCTAAAACTCTCTAAAAGCATCGTTTACGATACCTCGTAAAGGCGCATCGCTGGAACTTTTTTTTCACCTATATAAAAAAAAAAAAAAAAGCCAGTGAATAGGAAATTAAACTTGTTATAAATTATAAATATATATATATATATATATATATATATATATATATATATATATATATATATATATATATATAGGGGGAGGTGGGTTCCAGGATCTTTAATGGTCTTATTGCCCGCCCTCTTCCCCTTATTGGCGGTCAGTTTTCTACAGTCCCCCCCTTAGACACGATATGAATAAAACGTAAGTAGTAAACTGGTGTAGGTGCACCAAAATTACCAGAAACGTCTTAACCTGTAAACTCCCAAATTCTCATTGGTAATTCTCCTTACTGTCTGCCACATAGTTTTTGTGCTGTTACTTTGGAGAATTTGGTGTTGGATCAACTAATAATCCCCTAATAAATATTTTTCTTTATTTCCATTACCTGTTTCCTTGATATTGTATTGATATTGTTTTATTGTTTTATTTACAAGCTTGCGAGAAACGCACGTTCGTGCGTAGGCGTTGAAGGCTTTTCAACTTTTTTCCGTACTCTCACGCTTGGAAATTATTTTTCGAAATTGGGCCAACTTTCAATTTGGCCGCGCGTGACCTGGGGTAAAGTTTTCCAAAATCCAAGATGGCGGATAGCTCTGAACCCACCGAAGAGGAACTAATATTTTCAATAAAAGAAGCCCTTAAGCATGGCAAGTCAGAATTTGAACGAAGAATTTCGAATGGGCAGAAATTGAGGGATCTAGATATCACATTCAACCGGCTAAACAAGGTTGCTGAATTAGCTGTGAAAGGAAACTTTGGAGCAATTCGAGAGCGACCTAAATATAAACTTGGCGAACTGTGTCCAATGCTACAGCGTTGCATGATTCGGGCGAAATGTGCCATTGATCGCCGGCTATCACCAAGGATGAGTAAAGTGCACCCGTGGATGGTCATTTTTGATCTCCCTATGGCACAGGAGGTTTTTAACATTTTACATAAGGACGTTCTTGGTCTAACAAGGTATGGTTTAGAGGTAGAAGAGAAGCCAGGTTCTGTAACAATTACTTTTTTCAGTCTGAGAAGACTATGTCATTTGTTTGACAAATTTATGGACTGTGGTGGATTTATCAAGCAGCTTGGCGAAGGAAAGGGACAAGTCAAGCTCATTGTCAGCCAAGAAAAAAAAGGAGTGATGATCTACAATGCAAAAGCAGAGTGTTTGCAAGCAAAATTTTACTATGGCTATTGGAATTCGTTTGGTATCAGCCAACACTAAATACAGAAATCACCAGTTTATTTTGGAAACCGACATTGCTTAACTGTTGTGTTAAATGGTGTGAGCTACACAAAGAAAAGACACCAGTAAAACAAGGAAATAGTAAAACACTATCAAATAGTAGTATTCATTCTGGATGTTATAATGCCTCCACATGATCATATAAGCTTAAATAAGGCAAACCACTACTATAAGCGCTGAAACTTATAAACTTATTATGGTTACAAGAAGTATGTAGACAGAGAAAACTTCTCATATATTATGACATAAAGTTACAGTTGATAATTTTAAAAGCAAGCAGAGGTATAACTTTAGCCAAGAGCAGACTTAAAAGGCCTCTCAAAATGCACAATCAGGATTAACTCATGACAATTTCATACTTTAGGCCCTCCTTGGTAGGAGCATTCCCCTCTTTGCTGACTTTGTTTTTTCAGCCATGTATTATACAGATTATATAATTATACATAGTTCAATTTGAATTTTTATATTAACTTCTAAATGTTTTTCCTCCAGGTGATTGAATTAAATGAGGAAGAACTTCTATAATTTTAATCAATGAAATTGAACCTTATGGTTATGAGCAGTATGTAAACAGAGAAAACTTTGGGTTTAATATAATCAGTTACAGTTAAATATAAACTTACATTTACCTCAACTCCTTATTCATGAAAATGTTACAAGGCATGAAAAATAAAGCAGTTGTTTTATAAGTCCTTAAACAGCTGGGGTTCATTGTGAGTCACTGGGAGTCATTGTGAGTGGAGGTGTTTTTTGAAATTACAAATGCACTTGAACGTGGTGTTATCACGAGATGATTCATGCATTCTTGTACTTTCTCACTCTTTTCTTGAAGACGCTTATTTCTCTTTTTTAATGCCGACAACTTCTTACTTTTTGATAAATATTCATCACGGAGGTTACATTTTTCCCTTGCCAACTCACCGAGTGGAAATCGGCTTCTCGCAGAACATTTAGGAGACCTCTGAAGAGGTTTCTTCTTGGTTCCCATACAAGCTCAAACTTGAGCCCAAAATTCAATGGCCTACGATCAAATGCAAAGATTTTTACTAATTTTTCAAACAAAAATTCACCCTCTGAAGCTCACAATATTAACCATTTTTTCCACAAAAACGAAAGACAAATACCTTTTCTAGAGAAGTATGGTTTTACTTTTTCAAAATTGGGTGGCAATAAACTCAAATATATCACTTTCAAAAGTCCACTAGAACCAGAAATTTCTGAACTTATAGATGGTGTCGAAGTACTTTTTCACAACCGCCGTATTTTTCGAAAACTGAACGCTATATGGTAAACAAGGTATCAAAAGAAAGCTTTTCCCTCGAAAATTTGGGATTTCGCGGCTAGAAATTGTGTACTCGTACCATTCCCCCCACAAAGGGGGGGAAAGCCTGGCGAATTTTTGCTCTTCGCGCGCGAGGAAAATGGCCGCGCCAAATTTTGAACAAGAGGACTGGGGAAAGCGGGACATTTACTTGGCCCAATTTTAGGCAATAATTTCCAAGCGTGTCTCGCGATTTCGATTTGTGTCAATGGCATACGCCTTTTAAAAAACCTGGAATTTGATATGGAAGTACGTTTAAGGTGTTTTTATATTGTCGCGTAAGTTTTGCCGTACGTAAAACGTGCGTGAAAGTATAAGAGTTAAGTAAATAGATCTGGGCAGTATTAGGGAAGATGCTTGGAATGAAATGGGAGAGGATGAATCAAAATATTGTATAATTATTCACCGAAGTGGAGGTGAATAGTACTTGCAGTTCGCTTCCGAACTAGCCAATAAGCGCGCGTGAAAATCACTATTCACTTGAGTGGTATATACTAAGATCAAGTACTGCTATCGGATAGTCAATATAGGTAAATGCATGAGAAAAAAAAACCATAAGAGTACAATTATTGCTCTTACAACTTCAAAAGGAAATATTTCAAACTCTGGGTTCAACAGTATTAGCCCGACAATCAAGCGCTGTGAAACCTGTAACAAATTTATCATAACAGCCGACTGACAATCAGGGAAAAAAAAGAATTATCGGCGTAAAATTATCGTCACAGTCGAATATAGTAGGAAATGCCAGTTTGAGTCACGTAGCGGTTGCTTTCTTTCATTTATTTCTAAAGTTGAAGCTCACCCATAGTGTTCATTTTTAAAATCATTTGATGAAAATCTTTCGGAAATAAGGAACCAGTTGGTGTCGTGTTTTTTTAAAGATCATTGTAATTGGTTGTTATCTCATTGTTCTGCGAAAGTGTGTGATTTTTTTTCCAATACGACAAACCCAGAGAGGAGAAAGGAGAAGGAAAACCATTTTGGGTGTTAGCGATCATTTTTTAGACTACACAGAAGGTTAAGTAGGGTTTTCAGTCTGAATGCAATTTTAACCTGACTCAAGCGGCTTTTTTTTATTTTATCTAGTTTGTAGCTTATATTCTTATAGACCTTTCGACCAGTTTTATAAAACTCGAATACATTTTATTCTAATGACGGTACTTTTAGGATCGAGGGCGACTAATCTATCACTTGAATTACTGTTGTGTGTTACCCTCCTTAAATAAATTTGTTATTATTATTATTATTATTATCATTATTATTATTATTCTAAAGCACACATACCTGCAATGATACAAACCAAACAGAAAACAAGGCAAAGAACAGCAACGAGCTTCATCGTGAGTTCTGTCTTCTCGCTGATAGCAGTGTCTTCTTCTCGACCTCTCTGCGAAGAGAAACAAATGCCGTTTATGCTAGTTCAGTGATAAATCTGATAAAGTTATATTCGCATATCATATGAATCATTCATCGAATTACATGTCTATGAGGTAATGCATTTTTACCTATGAAGGCCCCCTGAGTCCTCAGGCTATTTTCAACCCATTGTTTTTTTGATGTTTCCGATGGGGTGATGACCCGTGGGGTACTTTTACGGGTAACGATTAAAATTTGGCCATTTGACGACTTCCAGGTAATTTTCTTCCTGTTTCGATTAAAGAATTTTAAGGCTGACTATTTTTACGACAAAGTTTCCGCCTAACGGCTAAATTTTTTTGGCCCTTTTATGGCAAACGGTTATCCCCGTTTACACCCTAACATTAGTATGCATATTCTCCATACTGTTCTCTTTACATTTCATAAGGAGCTGACAAGGAAAATTTGTTTGACAATCAAGAGCTCTACGTGACCATTTCCTCTTTTCTCATGATCTCAAATGAATGCTATGAGCGCTCCTCTCGACTTCCCGTCGAAAAAAATCGTTCTTCTATTTTATGCCAAAGAGAAGGGTTCAGGACACGTGCTTAAAAAATCGTTCAAGTGTTCTCAAAGTCTTTTTTCTACGTCGCCACAACCCAAACATCATTTTTGGCTGGACCACCCGTGTGTTAAAAGACAAAATTGGCATCTAGCAAGAATTTCCATGATGGGTGATTTTTGACTTATTTGAACGTGAAGATAAATGGAAATAATATATTAGCATGAGCCATTCCGCAAACATTGTAATGAGCCAGTTGATCATTTCTTATTCCTTTTGGCGGTCTTATCTAACAGATAGAGTTTGGTCACTTTTTCCTTATTATGATTGTGAATTTGACATGGAGACAGATGTTTTTGCGTAAACTGCGGTTTGCGGCTACTTACCGGTATATTTACAATATGTTGCTGAGAAAAATAATTAAGTACCAAGAAAATGACTCTGCCCTATAAAATTGATCCCGTACAGGACTTTCCCGGAAATAACCCCCTTTTATACTTTTATCCACTTAACACCCTCGTTTTTAGGCTAAATCCATGTCCAATTCCCGATCAGGAAAATAGATTTAGTTTTTAATTTAACACGTTCGACACCTCTTTTTCTTAGGAATGATTTAAGGTGTAAACGTGAAGTACTTTCATCTGCTGCACTGAATTTGTAATTATATAACTTATACAAATAGCACGTAGTTTTCTTAGGGGTGGTACCTTGGGTACGCCCTTTCTTCTTCGAATTTTGTGTTTACTCTGCTGTTATGTAACAACCTTTAAGTACAATTTTCTTTTAAGATACTTTTTCAAGTAGGATTTTAATTATGTTACTAAGTTTATTAGAAATTTTAAATTATCAATCTTGCTTCTGTTCTGGCCGATCTTAATCATAAATGTAAGAAATTTAAGGTAGAAAATGCTTTTGTAACGGCGTAAACAACTCGAAGACGCAAACTAATTATGCAGGGTCTGCCTTACGTAACTTAACGTGATTCGCTGATTGAGATAGAATGATGACAATGGAAGAAGATTGACAGCTTCGTAGCGTCACCTTTAGTGCCGCCTTTATAGGCTGGTGCACAGCATCTTTCAATCAGAGAATATAGCAAAATAGAGCAGTGTGGACTTATGTCGAAAGGAATAAGCTGAACTGTGGTGAATAAGGTCCAGACTGGGCTAGACCCCGAAAGTAAGAATTGTACTCAGAGTTCAACCAGAAAATAAAGGAAATTCAACCGAGTGTTAGAGAGGAATTCTTCTAACACGTGTGGAGAGCGATCGAAAGTGTAACATTAATTTAAAATAATAACTTTCTATAACAAGTATTGTTTTCCAAACCAATAACACTTGTGTTCTTTTCTATCTAAAAATTTCCAAGTCGCTCACTATATGTTTCCCTTTGATTTATGTTAAAATAACTGTATGCATATCTTATTTTTTTCATTCATATTCCGGGCTATTGATATTTTCATATTTTTTCTTGTTACTTCAATATGTCATGATGGTTGCTTACGACGTAACGCCGTCCTACAAGACAACACAATGAATAGGCGAGGACTGAGTCTCGATGAGGTTTACCATAAGCTGTAAAAGTGCCAAAAATTTTAGCCGTTGGACGTAATTATTGGCAAATTCAAACCATTTGTCGTAAACATAGTCAGCCTGCTCAAATTCCCAGAATAACATATGGATATGACAAATCATAACGGCAATTCTAATTGGAATATAGAGGGACTATTTATCTGTCCAGAAAGAAAACTGAAAAGAAAGTGAAGTAATAAATTTACACAGACAAAAGGAAAGCGACATAGGGACTTGCCGTGTCGTATTTAGTACACCTCATTGCTTGCTTCATGTCAGAGGCAGTAAAAGGGTCATCAAGTAAGTAAGTCACGGCGTTAAAAAACGTTGCTAATATCTCTTTCCTAAAATAAATATCTAGAACGTTTCGATCAAGTTTTATTCTCGCACTGTTTGACATTTTGGGCTGGAGATTGGGGCGAGGAAGCCAAATTTGATCCAATTGCACATCTCCGACACTTGACTGCTGTGTTGCGTCAATGACAATTGAAACTTCATGATTTCTAAAACACTTTAATTATTTACGTCTTTAAACAATTTAGCGTTTTATTCCTTTGATT